ATACATGTGGGTCACAATTATTACCAGAAGATCATGAACTTTCAGATCAAATAAGTGTTAGATTAAATCTTACATGTGATTCTCCTATTGAGTGTACATATTATTCATGGCAACTTAAAAAATTTGATATTTGCTACTGGTGTGGAGAACCTGAAAATCTTTTAGAACCCTTAGATACACTAAAGGCTGAATGGAAAACTATATATCCATTATGTGAATTTTATAAAAATAATGGAAAACATGGTACAAAAGAGCACAAAAAAAATTTATTCCATTAAATAATAATGATAGTAAGGAAGAAGGTAATGAAATTAGTAAAAATAGGATAAGCAAAAAAAGAAAACCATAATTATTATTATCTAACTTCCTCAATTAACCACTATTCGGTGGTTTAATACCTAAAACCAATTAGGTTGCTTAAATAATTGATAGTAGACGAAGAAATTAAATAGGTATTGATAAGATTTAATTAGTGAACACAATTTAAATTACTTTTTTGACAATTTTTTTGGGAAAAAGATATAATCGCCTGCTACAGCAAAAACGCTATGTATATAAAAAATTTTTTATGAATATTACAAATTTTATCTTATAAGATATTTGTATTAAATAAACTTATATTTGAATGCTGTTAATTTGATTATACAACTTTAAGTTAAATCAATTTTGTTAGGTTCACATAAACCTGATATAGGCTCACATGAACCTAATTTAGGTTCGTGTGAACCTAATTTAGGTTCATGTGAACCTAATTTAGGTTCATGTGAACCTAATTTAGGTTCATTTGAACCCCGTTTAATTTTAATGTTTGTTTAATTCCCCACCCCCCTGCACAAATTTCAAAAAAATAACGAAAGTTTAAATTCAAACGGCCTTAGTAAAGAGTCCAAGAAAGGTTAAATAAGTAAAGATAAGCCCGGAGGAAGGTACTGGTCGGGCCCAACAAATAGAAATAAATCCAAAATATGTAAAAGCCTTATTCTTATGTATCCCAAAAGTATAAAAGAGCTGTCTTTTCGCTCTTCAAATAAAGCTTTAGATTTCATTGTCTTTAATATAGGAGTATTAAGAATTGATTTCTCGAATTGATGTTATATAAGTTGCCGTTGTATTGTTGTAATTATTTTTATATTTTTATTTCCCTTATCTTGACCGTGAAGGTGCTTCACGATCATATTATACATTTTGTTATTACCCTATTACTTTATTACCTTATAAGTATTGATCCTTATTATCGGTTGTATTGATTAGCTATCGATATTACTGATTTATTTAATTATGATTTATTTACTTGATTGATTACTGTATTACAATAGTCGACTTTATTTATTATTATATTACTTTGAGTTCTATTACAAAGAACATATTAAGTTAACTATTGGAGTTAAATTGTGCCGATAGTTCTATAAGCTCTCCCAAACAATAGTAACAATGGCGAAACCTCGACTAATGACGAAACCCTGATGATTGATGAAAACTATGATGAATTGACGAAATATATGACTAATTGACGAAATATATGACGAATTGGCAAAACCCTTGACAAATTAATTTGATAACATAATGATATACAGCCGACCCTCTTCTAACAAGCTTCTTTATGATGACCTCTAAATATGTTAAATCTTTTTAGAAGTATTATTATTTCATAACTGATACACTTATTTTCGTGAGTAATACAATTTCTAAAAGGGGATTGCTTAAAGCCAGCAGAGTATAACACGAAATTACTATTTATGTTGAAGATTAGGGACAGTTTAGGGTCAGTTTAGGGCCCGTATAGGCTAAAATTAAAAGGGTGTTATATATAAAATCGTTCTCCCAACATTTTTACTTAATACGCCAAATTGGGTTTAGACACTTGTTTCTTGTATTCTTCCCATTTTTACTTTTTTTGCGATTTTGATTGGTCGTAGGCATCAGAAAATCTCGTGATGTACCTGGCTTTAAGTGACCCCAAAAAAGAAAATTAAATTTTGTAAACAAAGTGCATAAAGATAGAATTTTAGGGTTAGAACATTAGTATTAGAGATTATAGCGATGGATATCCCTACTATATGTACAATTTCATTTCCATCATTTTTAATTAGTACACCAGAGTCAATTTAAACATAAATTTTGAGTATTTTCACTTTCTTTTCTTCTTTCGCACGTGTTCATATTCGATATAGTTATTCTTGATATAGTCGCAAATTAGAAAAAAATCTACTTTGTTTTACTAATCCTTATAAAGTATAAGAAATTTATCTTGATCCTCTGATTGGCAATTTTTTTTTTTAGGATTTTATTGCTTTTATATAAGTTCTGCAGCTATAATCTAATGAAATTTTTTAATAAAAAAATGTTAATTTAAAAAGATTTAAGATTTAGCAGATTTAAAGATTGTCATAAAGAAACTTGCTGAAAGAGAGTCGACTGTATTTCATTATGTTACCAAATCAATTCATCAAGGGTTTCATCAATTCGTCATAGATTTCGTCAATTCATCATAGATTTCGTCAATTCGCCATAGATTTCGTCAATCGTCAGAGGTTTCGTTAATCATCAATTCGTCATTCAGAAATCACTTGACGAAAGGTTTCATCATTCGTCAATGGCGAAATTTCGTCATTCGTCAGGCATCATTAGTATGTACTCTCCAGTATGTATACTGTATGAACTATTCTGAAAAGAGGTAGTTAATCATATGGTAAGTTAACCTAATAATTGAATAAAAGCAGGCAGCCAAGAAGCTACCTTAATACCAAAAAAAATTAAAAAATAATTAGAAATAAACCTTTTTATATCTAAATGCCAACATATACTACACTCTACCCTCATTATAATGGACCTCGTTAAACCGGATCCCTTATTATAATAGATAAGTTTGTCAGAACTAAATTTTAAATAATAAATTTTCCTCGATATTGCGGATATTTACAAGACCTATACTTTATAGTGAATGCGGATTAACTTTTATTTATTCAATATATACCATTTGATTTACTATACTGGATATGATATCTGATTGGCTATTTAGTGATTAAAGTATGGAATGGCATAACCAATAAAACCTCAAACACGTGAATGATTGCATCTATATAAAATAAGGTAGCTGCATGACGCTGTCGCACGACACCAGGAACGTAAATTTATGAATGAGCCAGAAATTTTATGCAATATATCAGCTTTTCCAGACTGGTTCTAATAATTGCAAATCATGTTCTACATGTGAAAGTGAATTTTTAACCAATAATATAGTATTTTCCATAATTTTTCGCTTTCTATATCTATATTCACAATTACTAATCAGGCAATAATTAGGTGGTTATAATATTGGCATAATCTACAAATTTAATATGTTGCAAACCCAATAGATTACAAATCTACATACTATTGAAATTATGGATCATCTGCTGTTGAAATTACAAATCTATTCTCTACTAAATCATAAACCTTCCATTAAAGTTACGAATCCATTCACTGTTAAAGTAAAATAGTTTACTAATTATTTGTTATAAAAATTATACCATAATTCTTTGATAAAAAATCTGTCATATACAAAAATAAATGAAATTTGACATATTTTTAATTCCATTAGATTTTGACTTTATGTTTTAAGTTTTCTACTAAACAATAAATGATTGAAGTTTAAATACAGTCAACTCTGCTTATACTGAATCCTCTGTAAAAATTTTCAAAATGTTCAGTTTAAAAGTTCATATGTCTATAAACTAATTTACTAATAAAATTTATAAATATTTTAAAGCTTTGTGTTTTACACCCACAAAGTTTATTAAGTATTCAGTTAATTAGCTTTAGTTTAGCGATATATAACTGTACTTTGCAGAAACTTGGTTTTTTTGCTAAATATTTTTGTAATATAATTATTATATATCAACTAGATAATTACAATATTATTAAAATTAAATATAA